GTACCAGTCACCTTATTACTCTAAACGATATAGAATGAATACATCTCATGCTCTTAACTTAGTAGTTGTTCGCTCTGATGATGCCCATCATATGATGGACAAAAGTTCAGCGTATTTTGGCCCTAACCGAGGAAGGATGCCTTGTGAATAGTGTCAAGATGAACTGAAGTACAATGAGAATCAGCCTACAAAGCTCTTCGTTACACACTTGCATGCAAGGTGAAAATCTCCCCGACAATGTTATCTAATGAGATAATTCGAAATCCAGTTAATATTAAAATTACATTTCTGCATATTGGACCAAATGGTCACATTTGTTGGTTGAAATAGGAGATTTCCGACAAAAACCCTCACGTTAATCGTCTGCTTGCACAGGAGAAGGTTCAGAGGAATTAGCCATTCCAAAACTATATAACCTCTGTTCGGCGCTATAGTGACTGCGATTCGTCTGCTCACACACACACAAGACATAAACAAGAGCTTAATCACGAAAATATAGAATGAGCGCTTCTAGAGCTTGTACCCATTGTGAAAATGATAAATAGAAACAGTATATTTCAGATGGACTGTTTTTTAGGTATAATAAACGCCAAGGAGAACACTCACCGAGTTGAGGAAAGGCATAGCATGCCTGATGCAATTGTACCAACATGCTGAGTACGGCCAACCAGGCAACCGTCTGCTCAAGTGTAAGAAAGACTAGTACCAACGGCTGGATGGAACTGACACGGTAAAGGCCTATCATCAGGCTCGACTCAGCTGGATCGGGATCGAGATCGCTTGCAGAGGAGACCGTGACACCGGCCGCAACGGGGTTGGCAACAGAGCCTAAAGTAGTCGTAATGCTGGTCGAGGCAGACGGAGGGATCGTGAAACCAAGGCAACTGTCAACTGAAGGCAGGAGAGGATGATTTTTCGTTCTATTCTCACTTTCATCTTCTTCAGCCTCTACTTGCACATGTTCACTTTTGTATTTCACTTTCTTCTCACCTACCGCTTTAGGGTGGCTGTGTTTCTTTCCTCGTTGATGCTTACTTGACGCAGTGACCGGATCGACTACTTTCCTCAAGCGCATTCGAGCCTTCAATGCGAACAGCAGACGACCAGGCAAACCAGTCGGCAAAGAACCGGCCTCACAAACAGAGGTACAGCAGGCTGCTGCAGGATCAGACATTAAACTGCTGGCAGGTGAGTTCGACAGTCCGACAAAAGAACTGACACAACTGTCGGAAAAAGTGGAGCTCGAGAAAGAAGAAGAACCACCGGGCAACGGAGAGTGAACAGGAAAAAAATTCTTTGATCTGTCTGTGTTGCAGGTGGTACTGATAGTGACAGGGTGGTTTGTTGTCCCCAAAGGGTCCTTGATCGCATTGTCTGGATAATTGTTCAAAAATGAGGTTACCTGTGCCCAGGAAGGAAGAGGTGAGAAAAATAAGGCAAACAATAAAAACATGATTACAAGAAAGGATAACAATGAAAGTAAATATTTAAGGAACCAACAACCAACCACGTAGATGTGAGCCAAAAGGTTGCGACGGCAAAATCTGCAAGTTGACTCTTTCCACAATGACATAACTAAGCCTCACAATGTCATTCACTTTCTCCTTACCTTGCCTCTCAAAAGGCTATCTCATCCAGACTGAACTGCAGTTTCGTAGTCTCTCACCCTCAGCGGGATTCGACACAGATTAGGGAGTATCGTGGAAATGCCGCCAAAACTCTATACAGCCATAAGTGAAAGAGGTCGACGACGCAATTAGTGACAGCCTCGAAAACTACTGATAACGAAAATAAATAATGCCCTTCATTGTGATGCTGACAATCACACTATATCAAACTGTATCGACCCTATTTCGTATAAAGTGATGAAAAACTTATGGTTGAATTTTATAATAATGACATAAGTAGGCCTTAGGTTTTCCCAGAGGGTATACTCATACGGACAAAAGTGAACTGCAGCTTCGACCTTGCCTGAACTGATTTCGTCAGTGCCATCGGCGGGATTCGAACCCAGGTCGTAGTAGTACAGGTTACCCACCATAACACTCTTCTATAGTGTCCTTGGGTATCAGGACAATGAAGGCCAAACAATTTCCCATATCACATTATGCGGTTGGATTTTCAATGAAGGAAAGTTGTATTTGCTATATTGACTGACTACATTATTTATTTTTTCGTTTATAAGTAGGTTTTCGAGAGCCATATTAACCCCATTTCGTAGCAGGTTAAGAGGGAGAAATTAACTAGCAGTCCCAAACCTTACACGAAATAGAAGAGTCGGTCCTTGAAATATATCCTTATGAGTTTAGCTTGGAAGGAATATTTTGATATCAGGAATATGTAGATTATCCTCGGTGCAAACCACAGGATAGTCTTGGATTGGTGATTGTTGATTCATCCTATAAAGAATTTCGTTCAATTACATGATAACCATATCTTATAGAAGACCTAATTTTAGTCTCTAAAGCCTACTTACAAACGAAAAATAAGCATTGTAGTCAATTGTAATAGCAAATACAACTTTGCCTCATCCGCAATCTCATCACAGAAATGTGATATGGGAAAGCCCTCGGCTTCTTTGAAATTCACTTCTGTCCTGTGAACTCGTGGCAGTGCTGCGTAGTGGTTACAGTGTTGAGACTATATGCTGCACCACCACAACCAGGGTTCGAATCCAGCTGGGGGTGCTGATGAAGGTGATAAACGACTGGTTGTTGAATTCCGCTTCTTAACCTTAAATTAAATAGAGTGAATACACCTCTTATATAAGCTCTTCTGGTAGCACCAACAACCAACTTACAAACGGAAAATCCCACAATAACTGTGATCTGAGACAAATATGGCTTACTCTAAATACCATATTTGCCCCGTTATCATCTGGCACCAATTGCCGTTTAATGGTGTGGTAACTTCGCCAAAATACTTACGATTTGGTATCACATCTGTTTTGGGGCTGCGGATGCGACGATGAGATGAGGTTGAAAATGTTGTTCACGACGAGGTAGCCTTTTGGGAAGCAAGGCTAAGTAGAAGTCAAAAGCATCCCAAGGTCTACTCTTCTGTTTGTGGAAAAAACTGAACTATGAGTCGCCAAATAGCCTTAACTTACCTAGGAGGTCTAAATTCCTATTAAAGAATTAATGATAGCCTCGAAAAATACTTATAACGAAAATTTTCCGTTTAAGCCCTGCTGATAACTGACAGATTAAAATGAACAAAGTCCAGGTCCCTTAGCTATTTCCGCATAAAGGAGATAAAAATCCGGTTCATAGGATATATCAATCATAAAGAAATAACGTTAAGCAGCATAGTTACTATAGCAACACAGTGATGAAAGAGTTATCAACCTTAATGAGTGAAAAGTATTCAGCCTTGGTTACTTTAGGTGAATTAATGTAGAATAGCTGAGTTTTCCCATAATCAAATGAATAGGCCTCTCATTTTCATTGAATTTTCCTCAGCCTGGTCTCTCAAAAAGCTTTTACATCCAGTCCGACTACAGTTTTGACGTCGCCTGGGCCTCATGAGCACCTAGTCAACTTTGCGTCTGTGTTCGATATGTTACCGTATGTGACCTAGGTTGGATACAGTTGTTACTCAAAATCTACTAATAGTACCGCAGTCTTAAGTAAAAGTAATGTAAATGGGGAAAAGTGGGATTTTAAAGAATCCCCCAATAATTTAATAAGAATCTATTCTTCAAATCGAAGGAAAAGTTGGCTTGTAATGATTAATAAAGTGATAATTGAGTATGTTTTCGAGACTACCAGTAAATATATAGCAGAGGCCTGACCTTCCTTGAAATTCCTTTATGCCCTGTGACTCAAGGGTACTCGTGGG